CAACCCCTATTTTATCAATTTCCTTTTCAGCCTGGCCCTCTTTGTCTTTTCTTTTTGGAACTCTGATGACATCGATGTTAGGTCTTTTGCTATAGTCCCATAGGTTCCTGAGGCTCTGAAGGTTTTTGGTTTTTTTCAACCTATTCTCTCTTATTCAGTTTGGGTAATTTCCGTTTTCTGTCTTCCAGTATGGTGATTCCCCAGTCCCTAACCCCCATCACTTCCATTCTGTTTTTGAGCCCATCCATTGAGATATTTATTTTAGTTATTGCATTTTTCTAAAATTTCCATTTGGGTCTTCTTTATGTCTTCTATTTCTTTGCTGAGGCTTTCTATTTTCTCATTTGTTTCAAGCTTATGTGTCATAGCTTATTGAACAAAAATATCATTGCTGCTTTAAAGTCTTTGTCAGATAATTCTGACACCTGTTATCTTGGTGTTGACATATATTATTTTCACTATGAAATCTCACAGTTCTTGTTGAGTGATTTTCAAGTGAAACTGGACACCTTTATGAGACTCTAGATTTTATTTAAACCCGTTTTGACTTTGTTTTCCTTGGACAGTGCTCCAGCAAGGGAAGGTGGAAGTAAGTCCAGGTTCCTCACTGAGTCCCCATTAACACCTAAGGGTGGGAGTTCCAGCTTCCCACATGGTCTCTACTGACACTGCGGTACGGGTGGCCTCATGCTTGCTGGGTGAAAGTCCTGACTCTCCACTCAGTCTTCTCTTACACCACCCCAGCAAAGAGGGGAAGGGATGCCTCATTACTGCTGGGTGGGAGTAAAAGTCCAGACCCCCTTGGGGTCCCCTCTTATACAAGTACGGAAGGTTGTCATCATCCAGAAGGGATAAAAGTCTCAACTCCCTAATTGGCCTCTACCACCCTGGCCTGGGTATCAGAGCACCTGGTTACAGACATGGGAGCCGTATAGTCTAAGCTCCCCACTCAGCTTTGCCGGCAGAGGTGAGAGTGGAGCTAATTTTTTTCTGTGTTTGGATGGAGTAGGGCAGTTATTTTCTAAAAGTTTTGTATTTGCTAGAGAAAGCAGTCTTTTGATAGAGCTTTTTTTGTATCTGTTTTCATTGGCATTTTGGGGTTGCCGGCTTCTTCAGCTCTAAGTCTGTGATGTATGAGATAAAAAGAAAACCCAAGGAACTCATTGCCACATCATTCAAGTTCTGAGGTCTCTAACTAGTCTGCCTTCTTCTCTCCACCTCTCAGACTTTCTGATTTATTTATTCATTTATTTATCTATTTATTTATTTATCTTTTTAGTTTGAATATATCCTGTCCAGAGATTTCAGTTGTACTTAGAGGGAAGAATAGAGAAAAGTATGTCTACACCATCTTACCAGAAGTGGAAGTCCTGCCTGATGCTTTTAAAAGGGCATATCTGACCATGAGACGCTCTGGTAAAAGCTCTTCCGTGGCTTCCCATCATTAAGATAAACACCAACACCTTTTGCATAGCTCTACTGCATAGTCTTGCATGACCTGGGCCCTATCAGTGGCAAATGTTTAATGACCAACTCTGGAAAAGAGATGCTAACAATTGACTCTTGAACATCATTGCAGACTCATATCACTCTTTCTCCTTACACTCCAGCCATTCCAAGTTTAATAGTGCACTATATATTTTCTAGCTTCTAGCTCTTTCTACACACTATTGGCTCTACTTGGGATGCCACCTTCTCCACATCTTTCAGTGTGTGTAAGTGCTAGAGCCAGCTTGCATCAGCTTACAAAAGCAATTGTTAAACTTTCAGGAATTTTGAAATCTGGCTACTAAAGCTACAAATCGGGGCTTTTTTTTTTTTTTTTTAAGAGCTGATTTTTAAACATTTACCAGCACACCAGTGCATACTCTCCATCTAGTTCATCCTTCAGTCTCAAACCATATCCTCTAAAAGGACTTTTTCCTACCCCCACCCCTGGACTTGCTTTCTACTTCAAAGTACCCTGTACTTCCCTTTCCTGAAATCCACTGGAATTATCATTAATTGGCTTGCCTCTCTGCTATTATACCATAAGTTAAATGATGAAAGGAGATTTTTACAAATACTTAAAATATCTGATGCCTTTTTATCTAGACCACCATGGTGTAGCTGACACACACAGAAGGTTCTATAGATATTTTAGAAATATTTGTTGAATGAATGGATGGCTGAAGGAACAGAACTAAAATAAAATGGTAACATATTGCATTGTAAACTGAAATTTTGAAAACAGGTAAGAATCTGTATGAAACCTACACAAAGTTTTCTTAGGTTTATGCAACAGAATCTAGTATACAGAATATCATGGCCAATCACAACAGCAAGGCAAATCTCCATAGAAGAGATAGTACATGAGGTTTTTCGAGCTTAATGGAACCACCTCTAAGATCATCCATCTCCCTACTGTAGCTCTGTACAAAGCAGACAACTTGGAAATTGTTGCTGCTTCCTCTCTTGCATCCCTATAATCCCTTCTTCGCAAAGCTTAAAAACTTAAAAAATTTTTAAATATGTCACATCGTCCCCTCCCCTAATTTATTCCTTCAATATATTCCCATAACATCTGAAATAAAATGCTTTCCTGATCTGGCCTCTGCCTGTCTATCCGACATCTCTTACCAAACTCTCCTTGTTCAAAAAGTTTCAAATTTATCCATTCAACACATACTGAACACCTATAACATACCAGGCACTGTTCCAGGGGTTTGTTAGCAATAAACAACACAATCAAAATCCCCTCTTTTGGTATAGACACATAAAAAGTAAATCTAATAAATGAGTAAGTAAAAAAATATTAGAAGGTACATATAGCATTTTTAAAAAAATGAAAGAAAAGCATAGTAAAGTGATGGGTAGCAGATCATTCATGCAGGGCCTTTTAAGCCATTGTAAAGAGGCCTGATCACTCAATTTGACGTTACTTCCATTTCCCCTCAATTTCATGACCTTGTTTTGTCTTCTTCATAGCACTTAGTGATACTAGAGATTTTCTGATGTATTTGTTCGTTGATATGTCATTTCCCTACTAAGAGTTTGACTCCATCACTGTGTCTCTCCTGTTTATAACAGGACCTGGTACCTACTCAATGAATTTGTTGAACGAAGGCTAAATATGCCTTCAATGCCTTCTAGTACTCCTATAAGGAAGGGCCTGTAGGAATACAATAAATAGATGACAGAAATCTTAACATGAAATCATTAATTTAACAAAACTTAGCTAAGAAAAACTTCGTAGGCTTCCTACAATGCTTTAAGGTCTCAAACAATTTTTCTCTTCCCAAGTCTGGTTAAAGCTGTAATGTTTTTATGGATTTGTTGTTCCTGTTTATGACTAAGACAAGGAAACAAATCGTAGAGTTTTGGGTTTAGCAATGGAGTTAACACACTCCATTGCTCTCCAGTTTTCTTTTAAGAGAAAATATGAGATTTCGAATAAGCCAATACAAGATTTAAGAGTGATGTAACTGAGTTACACCTCTGCAAGGTTAAAAGTGCAAAAGGGGGCCTGGTTTAGAAATGCGAGGATGACAGAAAGTACAGGTGCTTTGGCTGGGAGGGAATGACCTGTAAGAATAAGTGGCTGAATGCCTCAAATTCAAGAAATACTGGGACCACAGATGTGATTATGGCACAAGGAGCGGAAAGAGGACCGAAAGTAGGAAGCCGTCTATAGTTAGATGACCAACTGATGAACGGGAAATGTATGCTCACGTGCGTGAAGCTGAAATCGTGTACCTTAACCAAAGGCCATTCTGGGACGGATTTGGTATTTCGGGCAGAATGGAGATGCATCTCCCAGACTCCTAAGCCTCCTTCCTCCACCTACTTCAGGTAGGCAGGTGAAGGCAGGGCTGGCGAATGCCTGCTCAGTTTGGCCCAAGGGAGGACATCCCGGGAGCTCGTCTCTCCATCGAATCCTAAGCATATCTCGAATTGGACTCAAGAAACTAAACGGTGCCTGGGCCCCGGCTCTCCCCGCCTCAGGCCTCCCACAGGGAGGCTGCATCTCGGGCCTGGCTCGGAAGCCGGTCAGGATTTGCGAACCGCCAGTGTGCGGACCCGAGTTTCGGCAGCAGGAGGCGGGATGCCCACCTTCGCCCCTTCCCCGGCGTTCCTCCGAGGAAAATCCGTCCGCAAGACGGGGCGGAGCTAGGGCGGCAGGTCGCGGCCGAGGCGGAGGAAGCAGCCACCGCCCCAGCTGAGGGAGTGTGGCCGGGGGCTTCCCGGGGAGGGCAACCAGAGGGAGTCCTTTCGAACATTGCCACTCGGCTCGCTCACGTCTGCGCCGCCCCGCCCGACCCCGCCCCAGCCGCTCCGGCCGCCGCCTTCCCCCCAGCCCACGCAGGCGAGGGGTGACCCGGCCAGCGCCTTTAAGAGGCGGGGCTACATGCTCCGCCCCTACCTGCTCCTCGCGCGCCAGTAAGAGACCGGGTGCGAGAGGCGGTGCCGGGGCTCGGAGGGGGGAGGTAGAGGCGTGCGCCGATGCGCAGGCGCAGTGGCCGGGCGACAGAACGTGTGTTTCCAAAATGGCGGCAGCGATGGATGTGGATACCCCGACCGGCACCAACAGCGGCGCGGGCAAGAAGCGCTTTGAAGTGAAAAAGGTTGGGTCTCGCCAGCGCCTTCCTCAGGGAAGCTAGAGAGGCATGGATCTGGCTGGCAGGCCCGAGAATGACCGGGGCGCGGAGGAAAGGGCTTCATTTCAGGGCGTTCTTGGGACCGGGTACCACGAAAGGAAGCTGGGGGGCGGGTCTTAGGCTTGATCGGCATGATTGCGGCCCACTGCCAATAGCAGTATTGGTTTCGCTAAGAGGCTGAGGGGCCAATCACGGAGTTGCTTATTGAGATACGCGGGGTTGCGACTTGACTGCGGGAGCCAAGCGCCTGAGTTGTCACTGGAGTGGAGGGGTGGGGAAGGAGAGGGTGGGGTGGAAGGGGGAATCGGAGCGATGCGGTGGGTGGAGGATGGGGCAGTGCGGCGGAAGCCAGGGACCTGAGGTCTTACCGCAATGGAGGCGTCTGAAGAACCGGGCTGGTGATCTCCCTGCCCCGCCCCTCTCTGACGCTCGGGGTCCCTCTAACTCTGAGGGACCCAGACCCGGTCCTCGCCTGATCGAAGCGTCCATTCCCATTAGCCCCCTTTCCGTCCCGAGCCCCGCCTAGTTAAAGTGTCTTGAGTGTAACTCTTGCCTCTTTGGAGAGGTCTTTTGGTTTGTCACACAAGCCGTCCCAGTCATGTGGTAATATCCAGAATCCCCTTCCAAAAAAAAAAAAAAAAAAAAAAAGAATGGGGAAAAAAAAAAAAAAAGCATGGTGGAATCTGTTAAAAAAAATGCGAGCCCAAATCTTGCGTCATTTAGGGAGGGTTGAGTACCAGTTGCAAACGACCTGCTAAAAGTGGGAAAACAAAAAATGTGGAACGTGACTTACTGCATGAAATGCCTTATAGTGGTTTGCTAACAGTTTGGGCGAAAGGTTCCGATTCCCACCTGAGATAAAATAAATATGTTCAAAATGAAGATTCTGAAGTAGGGACGATGTTATTCCTGGAACATCTGGCTAAACACCACGATATTCCCCCTCCTAGTTGCTTTTTGGCGTTTCATTGTGGGCACTGCGTGCTCAGTTAAAACCAGCAGCCATATTGAATAATAATAGAAGTAGGATTTTTTTTCCTCCAAGTTGAAACTGCCTGGTGAAAAGTGCTGGACTAGTTACTAGACAATGAGAATTGGTTTGAAAGAGATGAAGTTTTGGGAAGTAGCATCAAATTAGTGGAGGAAAAAGGAATTTGGGAATACTTATAATTGCAGAAGGCTGAAGTTTGAGTTACTTAAATGCCACTTTTGGATAAACTCTTATTGGAATTAACTAAATATAAGAGTCTGAGCATGAGAAGTCGAGAATGTAAGTTTCTTTGGCGGTAGGAGCTAAACACAATTCTAGAGTTCGTTAGGAAGTAATCTTGTTAGATATAGGTGATGACCTTGTTCTGTGTTATCCAGCTTATCCCACGATTACCCATTTTATGATCCAATCGTCTTAGTTCATGTCTTCCAAGCTTTCACCTCCCCACTCATGTTTCCAAAGCTGCCTCGAAAAGCAGGTATTTATTTATGTAGAAATTGAGGTCTGCAACTGCCAGGGGAACCTACATGCTAATTCCACTCTACCTATTAGACCTGAAACAGGCACTTACAAATTATTCCTGATGTGCTTATGTCGATATGGCTGACCAAATTATTTTAAGCTGTAGGAAAAAGTAAAATTAAAAGTTGACTTGTTGACTACTACCATGCCACCCTGAACATGCCCGATCCCGTCTGATTTCAGAAGCTAAGCAAGGTCGGGCTTTCTTAGTTCTTGGATGGGAGGCCACCTAGGAAGACCAGGTGCTGTAGGCCTAAAAAAAATAAAAGTTGACTCATTAATTTTTGTGTTCATATACTCAACCATTTGTGGAATGGGTGAGCGTACGTGTAGCTTACTGTTGCCTTATGATATGATAAATAGGAGTGAAGTAATATCCAAAAACTCTTGTTTGGTGGTCCTTGTGGCCAAAGAGATGATAACTGCAACTGCAGCCTGAAATCCTAGAGTGTGTGTATGTGTATTTGTATTACAAGGAGAGTGCATTGTTCCCCCTTTTTCTCTTTGTAGTGGAATGCAGTAGCCCTCTGGGCCTGGGATATTGTGGTTGATAACTGTGCCATCTGCAGGAACCACATTATGGATCTCTGTAAGTAGTTGGAGGAGGCTGGGAGGAAATTGAGAAGGTTACAGAGATTATGTCTATCTGATGTGACCAGTTTTATTTTTCATAATATAAAGCATCATCAGAGCGCTTGGGGTCTTCTGCATCTTGTCCATTGATATATTTGAGATAGAGTAGTTTTTCATGATGTTCTGGAGGCATACCCATCTCAGAATATATCTACTCAATCTAAAGATGGCAAGGTCACGTTTAGAATGAATTGTGGACCGTAAGGCCCTGTTGATTATTCTTCTGCATTTCCCATTGAAGACCCAGACTCAAAGGCAAAAATAATGAAAGGAATAAAGTAGTAAACTTTGAGCTAAAATATTCCATCAGAGCTGGTGTTTCCTAGGCAAGATTTATAAAGAAAAACCTAAGAAGTAAGGGTTTTTAATATTAGCACCAAACATAGTTGAGAGGACATCACTGCCAACATCTAAATAGGCAGTTAATTGCACTAAAGACATTTTGTTTAAATCTCCACATATTCCATCACACATGATGGTCGACACGTGGTGAATTTGAGGATAGCTATTGATGGACTAACTTGCTATCCTTATAGCAACAGGGGCAAGAATGTTGACCACACCAGAAAGAGTTGAGATTAGTTCTTCATCCAGGTGCTAAAATGGTTTGTTATTGAGATCAGAAGTGGGTCAAAAATATTTCAACTTTCTAGAATTGAAATTATAGGCATTTTTACTTTTAAATCACTCATCTGCCTCTCCAACTTCATCTAGAGCCTCTGTCCTGCCGAGTCAGGTAGTTTCTCTGGCTTTCCATTGCTGAAGTGTCCATCTTCTTTTAGAACCTTTACCTATCCTATCCTGTTCCTTCTGCCTGGAATATTCTCTACCTCTTCTCCCTGCTACCTTGTTCTAGACCAGCACTGTGCAATCTGCATGTGAGCCACAAATGCAAGCACATACATAGTTTAAAATACACTAGTGCCAATATTAATAAAGTAAAAAGAAACAGATGATTTGTATTTTATTTGTCCTGCTATATAAAAATATTTTATTTTCAACATGTAATCAGTATTTTAAAGTAAATATTTTACATTGTCTCTTTGTACTAAACTTTTGAAGTGTATTTTACACTTACAGCACATCTTAATTCAGACTAGCCATATACCTAGGGCTTAGTAGCCACTTGCGGCCAGTGGCAGCTTTATTGGGCAGTGCAAAACTAACCTATAATTGGTCTTTAAATCTCACCTTGAACTTGCTCAAAGATGTTTTCTCTGACCATGCTTACATACACACAAACAATCTATAGCAGTTCTGTTAAATATTCCAAAGACACCCTATAGTTTCCTTTGTAGCAACCATTTAACTAGTTCTGTATCATGTCCATGTTATTTACTGCTATATTCCCAGCATCTAGTATAGTGTCCAGTGCATAATAGGTTCTCACTAAATATTTGCTCACTGAATAATAAAAACACAAGATAGGGAAATAGTCTGTGCTTAACATAATTTTGAAAGCACAAATCAAATATTTTGTGTTGGAAAGCAATTATGGCAGGTATTGGTAACTTATTGCCCTTGGTTTCTTTGAGTTTTGACCCTGTTTACCTTTTCACAGAAGAGTCAAAGCAGATCAGTGGCTACCATGTTTAATATAGATAGAAGGAACCCATCACAGAAAAACACATGAGCAGCTTTAAATGTGTTTGGGTGGGGTATTAGATTACATATTTGCCAATTTTTTTGCCATGTATTTTCACAAGGAGTTGGACTCAGATAAAATTTTACTGTCTCGGTGCTCTCTTCTGTAAATAGTTAATGATTTTATATAATCCTGATTTTTTTTTTACTTCTGTGTTTAAGTTGTTGTGTGTGTCTCTGGATGGAAGTGAATGCACTTCTTGGAAAGACCATGACAGGCACAGGCTATTGATCTTCTGTCTTTGTGTTGAACACTTGAGAGAAATATAGGCTTTCAGTTAGACACCTGCTTTATCATATATTTTAAATGTCAGATGAAGAAGTAGAACATCGAACTCCTATAAAAAATTATGAAAGTGTTTTCAAGTCATATCTTTTATTCAGTCAATGAATATTTATATTCTGGGCCTTTTGCTAGGCACCAGGATAAAATGACTTACATCAAGTCTTTACCCTTAAGAAACATAGTCTTTTCTTTAATACAGACTCTAAGGAGAAGTCTGGTTGCCATAACTGGACTTGTCTTCCTTTCAAGAATAAATGGATTATGATTCTAATAAAAAGACTTTTTCTTAAAGATGAAAATAAAGAATCTCAGTTTAGCATTGGCCATTTTCTAATAAATTTGGTCTGGCATGAAATGAATATATACATGACTAAATAAGTAAGAGTCATGGCTGTGCCCCAGTTGGACTCCTACAGACCATTCTTGGTCTTCCTTTTTTGAGTTCAGATTGATATTACATGCCCTACTACAGCTTCATATTTTATACTGCCCCATTTCTTGGTGCTTTACAGAGTTGCTGAAATACACAATCTGCTAGGTGTTATTTTTCTCCATTACCCTGAGTAATCTTGTTTCATATGAAGAGGACATCTGGAAGGGCTTAGACCCAGCCTTTGCCCATGAGAAGTTAGTCTTTTCCTAAAACCACAGGTCCATCAGTGTTTTTTAAGTGTGAAATCTGTCCACTTCCGAGATGAAGCCATTGCTTCCTTAGCAGGCCTTTGGTGGTAATGCTCTTGTATTGAAATTAAAAAGTTCCCAAGCTTAGTATATCACTTTGCAGGGGTCTGACAGGAACCCATAATGTCTGTCTGCTGCTTGTCTGTCTGCTCTAGGTTGACAGTGTTCCCCTGTTCCTTCCCCTCTTAAACTAACGACTACCTGCACCAAAAGCTTGAAAACGTTTTAAATTTGAGAACATTTTACAGTCGTATTTAGTAATTTTTCATGCCATTTTGTCTTGCATTCTAGATCTCAATCCTACCCCTCCTATATATTTTTGTTCTTTGTGAGGGATTTTCTGGTAAAGAATAAATATATATTTGGCCCCCATTATTTTTGTTTATAGAAGGGGTTTTTGTTTGCCCATGTAAGTACCGAGAGCCTACTTTGTACTTGGCATAGAGAGAGAGTCCCTTAAAAATACCTAGACCTAGAAAAATATGAATATGATAATAACCCTTGAAACAGTTTTGTTATGTACTTAAATGTACCTCTTATTTAGCTAATTTTATCATTCATAGTCCTCATTTAAGTGAGAGGATCCAACTCGAAGGACATCCGATTTGTCTTCTCTGCCATCCCTTTGAGTATGGTAGTGCACTCACAGCCCCAGTAACTTCTTCAATATACTGCATAGACCCTAGATTCTCTGCTCTTATCAAAGGAGAACACAGTTATTCTCTTTGTAGTGTGAATGTGGGTAGCAAAAGCAAGTTGTGGGGTTTCAGTCAGGCCCTTTGTCTTTCATATTTTCGAAGGGTCAGGGAAGAACCCTTATTATGGTATATCTCTTCCCCTAACTAAGACCAAACATACCGATTAACATCTTAGCATTATTTTCTTAAAATTTTACTAATTTCCACCTGTGGAAGTTTGACGTAATTGTCTCCCATTGGTCTTTCAGGTTTTTCTTCTTCAGAGGGAGATACCATTTAGTTACCACCTTCAGAGAAGGCAAATTATGCATTAGTAATTCTTATTCCTTAACTGTTTATTCCCAGTAGAGCTTTGCTCACCAATTCTCGATCTGTCAGATTTTCATTCTATTTAAGTTCCCATCTCTTCTTCCTCTGTGAGGTTGATATTGTGTACATTTTCAGTAGTTTTCTGTGTTCATCAGACAGAATCACTGCAGGGGTCATCAGTATCAGTAAGTGGCAGGCCCCAAATCTCTAATCATTGGCCTAACAGATTTTTACTTTGTTGACAGTGTTTTAAAGACTTGAGTTTTGATGTCTTCATGCAGAGCACACTCTACAGTTTGCCACAGGCCACTTTGCCCCCTTTTATCTGGCTTCCATCTCAGTTCACGTGTGTCTGCCTGACCCCTTTAGGCTTTGGAGCTTCACATGGGTGAGCCTACGTGTTCTTAGGGCCTAGGAAGAAGCATTTGCCAAGAATAGGGGGAAGATGCCACTTCTGAGAACAATAAGAGTTACAAGGTAGCTTTAAGAATTTACGAAATTTACCAAGTTAGGAGGAGTCACTTCCATTTGGACAAGTCAGGTTATATTCAAAATTTAAAAAGTGCCTTTCCTTCCTTACTCTTGTTTTTGAACAAGGATAGAAAATTCAGGTTTATACCGCCGTGTGACCCCCCACCCCCACCCCCGTGCCTCTCCCCCAGCATGTCATTGTGTAATCGCGCAGATAGGACTGCTACAGATGGAAAGGTTGTTGCTCCTGAGGTCCAGTGACCTTGTCGCTCTTGTTCCCACAGGCATAGAATGTCAAGCTAACCAGGCGTCTGCTACTTCTGAAGAGTGCACCGTTGCCTGGGGAGTCTGTAACGTAGAAACATCTTTTTTTTCTATCAGCATGGCTTGTAAACATGTTACCGCTTTTCCTGCTTTTCCAGTCTTGAAAATAACTAGGAAAAAAATGACTAGCCCACCTTTCTCCCAAAAGGTATACAAATAGCGAAAAAGATTTTAAATCCTTGTATTATTCATCTGTCGCAGGATAACAATTATTAGTTATTGCAGAGGCACTGGTTTGTCTTAACGATAGAATGGGCCCAGGTTTGTTATCAACATATTGGGGATTCATCTTTGGGAATTGCTTTCAAAGTCTATGGCACAGTTTTTGAAATATCCTATCGGTAGAAATCTGTCTTATCTGATTTTTTTTTAAGTCTAAGTGTCTTCTGGAACTCAGTTTGGTAAACAAATTGAGTGTTCAAGTGTGTGTGTACCCACACTTTAAGTGTAGCAAATGTACTAAGTTAATGTTTTCTGTGTGTTTTTTTTTTTTTTAACATGGTCATGCCAGAAATGTTTGTGCAGCATCGCCGGACTGAATGTACGGCTTTCCAGGGTGTGACAGCTGTAAAGGATAACAAACATCAAATGTTATTTCTAGCATGTGTTAAAAATTCATCCGTATAGTCCTATAGCCCCAGTCAGATGAGCTAAAATTGTCCCGTATCGACCTCCGGTACCAAGGGGTCAGAGGACCCACAGCCCCCAGTATAGCATAGGCCTAAGAGGCTCAGAGTCAGACCACCATTCTCTGTCTGTGCAACTTGCTAAGTGACTTTGGGCAGGTATTTGAGATCTCTCAGCCAGAGTTCCCTCATGAAAAATAGGGATAACAGTAGACTGCATAGAGTTTATTCAGAATGAAATGATTTTATGTTAAAACTGCTTAGAACACCTCCTAGCATATGATAAACATAAGTGTTTGCTAAATAAATATAAATCCAAATTTGGGGTAGTTATGATTACTGAAGAGATAGTAGCTATCAGTACTCAAGGCTCACCCACACCTTGTGGTGACCTTCTTAATTCTGTCAGCCCTTTGGGCAGTTTCACAGAAGCCTGTATTGTTTATGGGGATAAAGAAATAAAATATATCGGACTCTCTGCTTTCCCTGGCATTCAGGCATATACTGGGAACCATGTTACTCTAGTGGAAGGAAAAAGGCGGTGAGCTTCCCCTAAATTTGGCTAAGGATTGACTTCCAGAGAGCCTGCCATAAGGAGGGGCTGGTGCGGTGTGGCAGGAGCCTTTGGACTAGTCCTGGGTTCTAGTTCTCGGTCTTCTACTCACCAGCTCCATGAGTTAGGCAGGTCACTTGTCTGGGTTTCAGTTTCCTGTCTGTTAAATAAAGACGATAATACTTGTCATGCTTACTTGCCAGGTTAATGCTTGAATGATGAAATATATGTTACCTTCTCTATAAACCCTAAAGCACTGATCAGTGTGATTTGAGACTGCTAAACGTACCCATAATATATCTTAGATGATTGGCAGGAAGACATTTGGGATCAGGA